TGTAACTTTTTTATTATTATAGTTTTCTAGTATACTTAAACGTGTAACTTTTTTATTATTATGGTTTTTTTAGTATACTTAAACGTGCAACCTTTTTTATTATTATATATAAACATAAATGTTCTTTCCTTTTTAATATTTTGTCTTAAAGGTTTTTTTTTGCTGTGATTTTACATTGTTACTTTTTTTACTGACATTTTTTCCATAGTTCAATATGATAACTAATTTTAATGATATTAAGATTAAGCCTTTTTAACACAAATTAAGAAAAAATCAATTTACAAAAATATGCAGTTAATCACCCAACTAGTTTCAGCATACCCTGTACGTGGTATGTCAAACTAGTTGGGTAATTAATTTTTTATTTTGTAAATTGTTTTTACTTAATTTGTGCTGAAAAGCATTTACTCTTAATATGATTCATAGTTAGGACAAAGTACCTATTAACTTAAATAATTTAACATACATGTTTTCTTTATTAGACTTGTAATGTGACGGTCAATCCCACTATTCGTTGGTAAAAGAGTAGCCCAAGAGTTGGCGGTGGGTGGTGATGACTAGCTGCCTTTCCTCTAGTCTTACACTGCTAAATTAGGGATGGCTAGCGCAGATAACCCTCGTGTAGCTTTTCGCGAAATTCAAAAACAAACAAACAAACTTCTATAGCTCAACAAAATAATTAATTTTAACATATCCTGTATTGGACTTTTTTTTTGTGAACTTCACAAAATGTTATGAATATTTCAGGTTGTGCAACCTATTTACAAAATGCTGAGTCATTGGATTTTTAGTGGTGAACTAGAAGACATGTATCATGAGGTTAGTGTTTATATCCCACTCCAGTGGATGTTGTGGTCTCTTCATGTTTTGTTATTAGTTACAGAAGTACGTATAGTGTCTTTGTTTGAAAAAGTTTTGAACTGCACTATCACAGGCTGGAAGAACAAATACAGATCTTTTTCTGAAAACAAATGACATTTCACTGCAACTGTGTTTCTCTAACTGGTTTCCATTTTTCTCTTCTTATGAACTTTCCGTGGTTTTTACAGTGATTCTCATTGTCACTTGTTCAGTGAAAACTCTTGCTATTAATTTTTAGACTTAAGCAATCTAAATAAACTTCTAGTGTAGAGAATGTTTGCTAAAGTAGAGATTTCTATACAAGGTTTTATTTGAAGACTGATAATATTGAAAGGTACATATCGAAAACAGACTTGCAGAATGTGATGTATTACAATAAGTGCTCATTCTGATAATATTTTGTAATAGAAGTATTTCAGCAAACATAGAATGCTAACTGTAATAATTTAATATTTTGGTATTTTGTGTGTCTCACTAGAACAACGTACATGTAAATACACAAGTTAAACTTGTAAATATTTTTAATTGATTTGTTATTAATGCAAATTAGAGAGTTTTTATAAAATTTTGATTCTAGTTTTGAAGATGAGATAGCTCAATAAATATTAATACTTTCGTGAGTTATGCTTAGAAACTTTTCTAAATTCATATTCATTTCTAAATAGTATGTTTTCAGTATACCTTTTTTGAATTATATATATTTCTACGTGTGTTTTGTTGTATAATTTAGATTAGTCAAATCACATGACACTTTTATGATTTTCTCTAAAATAACTATTTTTTCAAAGTTCTTTGTAGCAGTGAACCCATCTGTTCCCAACACAAGCCTGTGGCATGAAAAATATAGCTTAAGAAAGACTATGGTACCATCTTTCCTTAGTCTGAGTCAAGCCAAAAAGGTAAAAACATGTTTGTAAGGTTATTGTTTTTAACTATGTATTTGATGTTTAACTGTTACCATTTGAATAAAACATTCAAGCGTAAATATCTTACACGTGACTGACTTATAAGTGCCAGAATACAGGCTTTTATGATTAACATCAACAAGTTCTAGCTTATAAATTAATCTACTTAACATAAAAAGCAAGGATATATTTTTCTGTGGGGATGGATATGTGGGGAAAAATTATTTACATTTAACTTTTGTAAGGAAGATAAAACTGCTAAAAATATAGAAGTAAATTTCAGTGGGAATAGAAAATGTTGATAGCAAGTTGGATAAAAATGGAAAAGTTTACGTGAAATATCAGTAACTGAGTAAAATTATATACTGTTTTAAGTGCAATACTCAAATCAGATATGCCCAAGAAAAGTATCATAAATAAAAGAAGCAACTGAAGCATGATTAAATCTGAAATACCTAATGTTTATAAGAGGAAGAAAGTGATCAGCATTGCAACCAAAAACTGTTGGGACCTGAAGAAAATTTGTTAATACATAGAAATAGAAAACCACTCGCTGTTTAGGGAAAGGGGGCAGAAGAGCACTGCAGCTTTCTCAGAATTGAGATGTGGTGATGCAAGCTTTAGTTAACAAATCTGTTAAAGTTTGTAGTATAAGAATATGCATTAACAAGAAGACCTTACACAGATGAATGAGAAACAATGTATTCAAAAAGAACAAAAGTGTAATTGAAAGCAACATGCAAATTGATCTGTGAATATAACTATCATTTAACTGCAAAATAAAGCAGTTAAAAAGTCATGAGTCTAAAGACCATGAAAGTTTGAGAGTTAAGATGAGTATTAAAACTACAATAGAATTAAGATGAGTGTTAAAATACAATAGAATTAAGATGAGTGTTAAAACTACAATAGAATTAAGATGAGTGTTAAAACTACAATAGAATTAAGATGAGTGTCAAAACTACAATAGAATTAAGATGAGTGTCAAAACTACAATAGAATTAAGATGAGTATTAAAACTACAATAGAATTAAGATGAGTATTAAAACTACAATAGAATTAAGATGAGTATTAAAACTAAAACAGAAAGGAAAATGAGAATAAAAGTGTGACTGTTGGTGCTAGTGTTTGAAACTTCAAAAACATTTTCTTATTGTGCACAGATAAAAGAAATTTCTAAGTAATGTTTCGTGGCCTATATTTTAATCAAATTGCTTAATTTAGAAAAAATACAACATAGAAAATTCATGGCATGTGCATTAATATGACAAACATAGAGCAATGCTAATATGTTCTCATTTATATAAACAAATGCTAGCAGTTATATTTGTCATACTTTATGTAATATATTTATCTAATTTTAGTAACAGACCATTAATTAATGTTTTACATTTCATAGGCAGTATCCTTCAGATTTATGTTCTTGTAAACAAACTGTATATACAATTCATAGTTTATAGTTTCTTGAATTTTGTTTTGTAATGTGCTGAATATTGCTTCTTACAGGTGCTGTGTACAGGAAAAGCTATCAACTTCCTTCGGATGGTGTGCCATGATCACACTTCAGTCCGACCCAGGGATGAACAAACTGTAAGAGCTGATGCTTCAACAGGTAATATATATTCAGGAATAATTTATATTTTTTGCAGAACACATAGCAATAAATATGTTTTCACAGTTTTGGAATTTAATAAACAAATTGTTTTTTGCAATATGTATAATTTTTCATTTTACACCGTGTTTTTGCATTCATTCAAAATCTTCTGATATACTATAGCCTCAAAGTTGACACTAAAAGAAGAAACAATATTGCAAATATTTCAAATTATTAGATACATCACTAAGGTTATATCCAAGATTTGAGGGTTTGACATTTGTGAAAATATAAATTTGTTTAATGGAAACCGTACCTTAGAGAATATGTAAAAATCTATGAAATAAACATAAATTCATATTTAAAACTAATAATTTTAAATATTTCATTCACAAAATTATTGTGCATTTGCCTGAGAGTTTATGATTAGGGGAAAAAACCAGTATAAAATTTTTGAAGTCATATCCTCTATGACCTCCTATTGCATGCACTATGTGAAAATATGGTAGAAAAATGTTTTCTTTGATTTTTTTTTACTTGAATAGGTCTATTTTTCATTAAAAATATGTTTTTAGGAAATATATTTTGGCAAGTTATAAATGGATACGTTATCTAGAAGTAACATTGTTCAATTGAAGAAACAACAAAAATAATTCCATGGTTTATAATAGACTGTTATCTGGAAGTAAGAGCATTCAGTTAGAGAACTGAAACATTTGTATAAGTGTTAAGCAATAAAGATAGATTTTGAACTGGTATATTTAAGTGTTTTACACTCACAAAAAAGAAACCTATCATTCTATAGGTATTTAAAGAATTTGTAGCATTCTGCTTTGTTAAAACCAAGTTGGAATTGCTGAAAGGTACTTGCTGGCTGTGAATGTTAACTTCAGCTATAAAGACACTGCTAGTGTTTTGAATACATTATTGGTGCTGCTTAACCTGAGACTCCTTACGCTTATCATCCAAAAATTCATCTATTTACATGACCTTCATCAACTGATAAAATTATATTCACAATCTTCTTAAGCTGAAAAAGGTAAAATTTAATTAAATTATGTTAACATCATACTTATCCATTCATAAATAGCCTAGAATATATCAAATATATTCAGGTAATTTTTCTATATTTTTGTGTAGGTACTCTGGGTCTAGTTAGCTTCTGCATTGTAAACAGAATGTACAAAGGTTATAAACATATGCTAATCTTTTTGCTTAAAGTTATATACTACAACCACTGTCCCCTAGAAGCTGATTTATGTTTGTCTGTGTCTATTTCCTGGTGTGGGATAAGGTTGTTTCAAGAGATGATATAGACACTTGTGCAAATTAGTATGAGGGTTTTCTCTCTTGTATATGTTATTTGGGATAGTTGTTGATGTAAATTTAGTGACTGTGGGCTATTGCACTAATATCTTAATCTGACTTGAATGTGTGACATTTTGTTATTCTTACTTATGTTTTATCAAACACAGGCTGGCCAGTAGGTAAAATGGAGAAACACTGCTTTAAATAAAGATTTCTTTCACTCTTATAGGTTGTTCTTTGTGTTTAACATATCTTATTGCATAACATCTTCTGAAGTGTATTTTGCAAATACTTGATTCTAACCTGTCACACATCAGATGTATTTTGTCGCCATGACCATGGGATTTGCTTATTGCAGGGTTTCTTTAGAATGTACTTTTTTTATATATATAAATCTCTGATATTGTAAGTTTCAAAAATCATGTTTGATATGAAGGGTACTTTAGAGGAAGAAGTTGTTGTTTCAAGTGAGGACTTGATCACAAAATGTTGGAAGAACTAGGAGACCCTTTCATAGATGGAGAATTTTCACCAGTTATTGTGAGAATTATGTCCACATTCTAGAGCTACAATTGGGAATGAGAGGTTTATAGGTAGCTAGAACTTAAGCAGCTGCTAATACATGACCTTCTAATGGTCACTTTTTTATACAGAAGCATAGAGTAAAGTCATAGTGGCATTGAGCAGCCTGAATGTCTCAAGACTTGTTGGGGTGGTGTCTCAAGAGACATCAAAGTGCTCATAAAGAAGATTAAGCATTGCAAGGCATTGGTTTAAGTCACTTGTAGTCAAGGAGATTGACAAGATGCTCATGGTAGGAGAAATATGACACAAAACCTGTGATAGCATCTGATGGAGCAACTAGTGTCTCATCATGATTCAGCAGGTCTTTGAGTTGGTCAGGAGTCTTCTCAGACAGTGTGCCTAGATTGCCTTCAGTGAATGAAGTCAAGGCAGAATGTGATGATGACATATCCCTACACGTTATGCCATTCTACTCCAAACTTTACCCAAAGATGTCACATTTTTCACAATGTACGTTTATGGACTTTAGGAAGAATATGAAAACTTCCCTCAAATGTACACAGCATCTCATCTACAAAGAAAAGGAGAATCTGATAGCAAGTACCTGTCTGCACCACCATTTAATAATGTGGTTCTATTGAACAGGTAAACCAATCAATGTTGATGGATATGAATATGGATAATTTGGACCATTTCCTTAAGCAAGTTGCTGCTTGTAATGGATAAACTCGGGGATAGGCATTGTAACACTTAATGCTGAGTCTTCATGGTCCCAAACTCAAGGCCATAGGGCACTTGGATGAGGAGCAACTTGAAAGTTGGTAATGGGTTTTGCCATAGATTCAGCTTTGTGGAGAACAGAGTAATCCATGGTGCCAATTTCAAAACCTGAGGCAAGGGCCCTACAATAATTTGACTGCTTATGATTACAATTTAAGGTAGGCCTTACCAATCATGTCTCTTACATATTGTGATGAGATAAATATAAACAAGATTATAAAAGTGCTTCTTAGTGACCTCAGGTAGTTTCCATAGTAATGTAGTTGAATCACATGCTGAAGCAGAGGAAGAAGCCAGTGTCAGTGATCTTATTCCTTTTAACTTGTTATTCCCACTTCAGAATTTAATAATTGAAAACAATTGCCACTGACTGAATACTTTTTGTTACTTGTATAAGAGAAGACTTCTTAATACTTACATGGCATTATACAAATGGTAGAGTGTAACTAAAGAGAGAGAGTTAGTAGTCATTCAAGTTCTCAATCAACAGTTACAGTTATTGTAGCTTTACAAGATTTTGCATATTTAAAACAAGCCAGAACTTAACATTAAATTTATATTGATAAAATTTGAAATATAAGTCATATTCTATATATCACCTTAAAATCAATGTTATAGTCTTGTTAGAATAAAAATTAGTTTGTTTTGGGTTGCCATGTAAATCAGTTTGGTGTTAAACTGTCAAACTTAGGTGGTCACTTATTTATAATCTTAGAACTTCTTACTTTACTCTGTAAAATCTTAAATATTTACAAAAATATGCTGTCCTGTGTACAAATAT